AACTATGAACCAAAGGCTGAGGGGCTCCCAGCTGGATCAGGCCCTCTGAATAGGTGAGACAGTTGATTGGCTTGATCAGTTTGGGAGGCATCTAGGCAGTGGGACCAAGTCCTGTGCTCATTGCATGAGTTGGCTGTCTGAAACGTGGAACTTATGCAGGGACACTTGGCTTAGTTTGGGAGGAAGGGACTGGACCTCCCTGGACTGAGTCTACCAAGTTGATCACAGTCCTCGGGGGAGGACTTGTCCTGGAGGAGGTGGGAATGGAGGGTGGGCTGGGGGTAAGGGGAGGGCGTGGGAGGGGGGAGAATAGGGGAACCCATAGCTGATATGTAGAACTGAATGATATTGTAAAATAAAAAATATATATCACAAAAAAAAATTGCCCATGTTTGTGAGTGGGAACTGGTGATATTTCCACACAAGTATGCAATGGCCAGTTATCAAATTGCACTAATTAGCAAACCTCAAATATACTAACACATTAGTGTCTTTAAGACAGGAATGAAGGGTTCATCTAATGGAGAACAAGTGTCTCCTGCCTCACACAGACCCTTCAGAAACAATGATCAAGAGAGGAAAGACATGCTTTTAACTTCTAGACAAAGCAAAATAAAATGAACATATTAATTTTATTGTGGCCTATAATCCTGTCTAGTCAGGAAACTGAGGCAGGAGGGTGGCAAGTTCAAGACCTGCCTGGGCTCCAAAGTGAGTTCATGAGCAGCTTGAGCAAATCAGGAAGACTACTGAAAAATTTAAAAAGTACAAATCAAGCCACCCTAAGACTGCAGGGAGGGGCCTGCCTGATGTAAGCAAGTTGTCCCTTTGCCCAGGACAAAGGAAGGTCTTGACTCCAGGCCAGGCCCTTCTCCTGCCTCTCTGGGACTGCTTCTTGGTGAGAAGTGGCCTCACCATGGCCACCGCTACTGAAGCAAATCTAAATAAGGTGAGAGAGCCCAGATTTTGAACACTGGCTTACACACACGAACTCTGCATACAACTTTAGGAACAAGGAGTGGACCCAGAAGCTGGGGAAGCAGGAGAAGCTGGCCTTCCAAAGACATCCCGCTGAGACAGGCCAAGCTCTGCAAGAGAAGCTGAAGGTCTCATTGCAGTATAGAATGTGCAGTGAAATTACTTCGTGCAATAGTGTGGGAGATGTTTCCTTCTCGGAGGAATTATAAAGCTGTAGCTGTGTAGGTCAGTGGAAAGTGGATGGCAGAGAGAACTAAGAGATGTGTCTCTAGTAGGTCTTATTACTGTGTTCTTACGGCCTCTATGCCTTGCTCCAGCGTGTTACGTGTTCCTCATTCATAGCGACAGCCTGTCTGCCAGATACGCGCCTCTGCCGTGTCTGAAGTTAGTGGAACCTCCTAGTTAGGACAGCAGATATGACTTGTAGACACTTCCATCGTAAAATTCACTCCTGAAATGTTCACACGTGACAGCTGTGGACTTTGCTGCATCGGACTGAAAGCTGGCAGGATGCCAGGAACTACTTGTGAATTTTATCCATTTCTCTTTGTGCTCCACAATCTTATTTTTCAAGGCAAGAGCACACAGAAAACATTTCTTCCACTCTGAGCTTCAACAGAAAATACTTTCTTAAAAAAAAATCTTGACTTAGTTAACTGCTGTAAACCAGATCATTAAATTAAGAAATAAAACTTCTAGAAACTTCTACTTTAAAGGTAATATCAGAGTTGAGCTTAGTGTTACTTGTGGTTTAAACCATCCGAATCTAATGAGAATTTTAAGGAAGTTTTTCTTTCTAAGCTTTACACCCATAAAAGACCTACAGAATAAATGAGCAAAGTGAAATATCCAACATGTAACATTCCTTTTTATGTTCATTATATAAAAGTACACAGAATGCTTACCTAATAATTTTTATTGAAAATAAAGTTATTTCCATATACTATATCCTGATCAGAGTTTCCTCTCCCTCATCTCCTCCCAGATCTTCCCCACTTCCCTGCCCCTCCAGCTCCATTCCTTCTCTGATTCTCCTCTAAGAAAACAGACAGGTAAATTAAAAAGACAAGGGTTTTTAAAAATGTACAAACAAACAAACAAAAAGAAACTAAGAAAGAGAATGAGAAATACACACACACACACCATAGAAACTTAAAATTGTAAACCACAATATATAATCAAGAGACCAGAAAGGTTAAAAAAGAAAAAAAGCCCAAATAAAGCAATATGTGATAAAACAAACAAACAAACAAACAAACAGAACAAAAAAACTCCCCAAATAAGCCGGGCGGTGGTGGCAGAGGCAGATGGATCTCTGTGAGTTCGAGGCCAGCCTGGTCTACAGAGTGAGTTGCAGGAAAGGTGCAAAGCTACATAGAGAAACCCTGTCGGGGGGTGGGGGGGTGGGGGGGGATAAACAAACAAACAAAAAAGAAAACAAACAAACAAACAATAAAAAACCTCCCCAAATAAACCTTTAAGTTCATTTCGTGTTGGCCATCTACCATGCAGCCTGCCCTTGAACATAGTTTGTATACCCAGTGAGACCCCCTTGGAGAAGTTAATTTTTCCTTTGCAAGTGCTTGTTAATTGCAGAGTGGTTGAGGATGGGAGCTCACGTCTACTTCCCCATCTCAGTGCTGGGAGCCCCACTGGCTTAGATCTGTGCTGTATGTATGTGCTGCCATAGTCTCTGAGAGTTCGTGTGTTCACAGTCAGAGTTCACAGTCAGTCCTGTTGTGTCCTGAAGACACTGTTTTCTTTCCTTCTCTCTCTCTCTCTCTCTCTCTCTCTCTCTCTCTCTCTCTCTCTCTCCCATTCTCTTTCTTTTTAACCTAATAACTCTTGGTTATTTAATCACTAAATATGTGTATTTTAAAAGATATGCCATATTTTCTGAAAAAGCAATAAATCCCAGTTCAGTAAACAAAAACTAATGAAGTGTGCATCGGGAATTTAAGTATGCCTTTCTAAAATAACAATGTAGTTATTTCTACCTGTAAGCCATAACTCAGCAAAGTGATTTTTCAAAAATAAATTCTGGAAACTCCAGAATGGTAGTGGTTGGGCTCTGCCTCTATAACAGAATCCCAGTGGGTTTTGCTTCGCAAGGCTAATGTGGTTTTAATCTGTTTAATTGATTCTTAAATTTTGTTTTAGCTGATACCATTTAAATTATGATAGAGGGATCTGGGGAGCTGGATCAGCCATTAGGAGCACCTGCTGCTCCTCCAGAGCACCCACACTCCGTAATTCTGGTTCCAAGGCTCCAATGCCCTTTTCTGATGGCACCAGGCACACCCGTGGTGTACACACGTGTGCACAGGCAAAACATTTAAACATAAAATAAAAATAAATAAATCTTTAAATGATGATAGAAGCATTCACGTTCTATGTAGCATTTTGTTATCTTGAGGTTTTAATAAAACAGAATATTTAAATAGTCACCTTCTCTGCTGTTTTTAAACAAACATCAGCTTTGGCTAAGTAACATAAGTGCACTAGGTACTTGGGAGGCACTTGAAACAGAAGAACTGTGAGTTCAAGGCTAGCCATGGCTACATTGATAACATAGTAAAATCTTGCCTTAAAAAATTTGGTTTTGGCCATTTTCATGGTTTTAAAACCACATGTTGTCTCTACCAAGAAAAGAGTCACTCACAGCAGACCATGTTGGGAGACAGCAATATGTGATCAGCATTTGATTGATGATAAACAGTGTGGACACTGCACATGATTTATAAAACCGAAGTGGATGCCCTTCTCTAACTATAAAATGTGCATCGACTTCTAGGTCATTAGAGTTGATAGTTTTATAGGTTTGTAGATTGTTTAGGCATGAAGCAACATGGGAAAATGTATTAAGAAAGGATCTGCTTTGCAGAAAATTTTAATACAAAAATTCTTAAATGTAAACCTACTTTAATGCATATTTAAGTAATATTTTAAAAACCAAACAATGACACAATTAATTTCCTTATTGCGTGCATGCTGTCAGTGATTTAAAAAAATCATTTTATTGCTAATGAAAAGTAAAAACAGGGCCAGGAAGATGGGTCAGTGGGTAAAAGCACTCGCCGTGCAAGTCTGACAACCTGTGACCCCTGGAACCCACATAAAAGGCCAGCTATGGTGATTCACATCGGTAGCCACCACACTCCTACTCTGATATGACCGCCATGGGAGACTGAAGCATGGAGGTCACGGGTCAGCTACCTAGACTATACAGCCCAGCCACAGAAGCAAGAGAGACCCAGTTCCCATAGGGAGAAGGCAAGTCTGACGCCCCAGAATTGTCCTCTGACCTCTAGACATAGCACTTGTGTGACACCACACACACAAACACATGCACTCAAATGCACACACACACAAACACACACACACACCACACACAAACACACACGCGCACGCGCGCACACACACACACACACACACACGTACACACGTACATTTTTTTAAAAAAATTAAAGATATAAACAATAAAAGGGCTGGGACTGTGGCTTAGTGGTGGAGCTCTTGCCTAGCATGTGTGAAGACCAAGGTTCAATCCCAGAACAAAGACGAAAGAGGACATAGAGGGGAAGGAAAGGGAGGCGGAAAGCCAGGAGGAGGAGGAGCAGGGAGAAAGAGCAGGAACGGGAAGAAGAATTAGTTTATTTCTGATTACTAATGATATAAGGTGAGTGTTAGACTGAGCAGAGATCTTTGAGCATTTTTAAAAACAGACACATTTACTCTCGGGTATATTCTGTGAGATGTGTGAAAATGGAAAAGGATGCCTTCTTATAGAGAAGGACAGACATTATCAGACCTCAGCAAACAGGTTTTATTCATGTACCAATGTTAAAACATTACTTAGATTTTTGCTAATTATGAAAAACTCACAGAGTTGTGCCAATAGCTCAATAGTGAAGCACGGGACTCAGAACAGGAAGCTGTTTTACAGTGAGTACTGCATGGCTTCCCATAAGCATTCTGCTCGGGCCCAAACTTTTTCACAACTCTCCCAGCACCACCAAACAGCAGCTCCAGACCCACAACTCCCTTCTGTGAAAAGACGTTGACATGACTCGCTACTTAGTCAAGCCAGCTCTGCCCTGGGCCCACAAAGCTGAAACTCGGTTCATTGTGAAGGCAAAGGCTTTTCTCACTCACCAGCCCCAAAGAGCTTCTGCTGTAAATAATCAAAGCCGAGGTTTCCACCAAAAGAGTAGAAAATGCTGAGTCTGTTGCTCACTGCAGCCCCCACACAGCCACCAACAGCTGCAAGGATCTGCCCTCCCACAGGAAAACAGCAAGGAGATTAGTGGCTGGAGAGAGCCTCCGTGGGGTCTGGAGCGATGAGCCCCGGTGTCCAGAGAGAAGGAAACGCTGATACTGTATATGGATAGGCGGAGCCGAGTAATGGGTAACAGATGCATTTGCAGAAAGCAAAAGTGAAACTTAACTTCTCTATGTGCTTGGGAAGTATAACCATTTCCAGGAAAAAGAAAGTGAACACTATGATTTCAAGATGACCAAAGAATGAAAGGAAGGCTGGAAGGTTTGGGGCCAGGAAGGCAGTTTCCTGGAAGCTTGTGAGGGGGTCACTTAGCCAAGATGCCTGAGGAATGAGCTCTCTGAAGCCAAAGGACTCCTGGGGACAAAGACAAAAGCTGGGAGGAGTTCGCAAAAACACCAGTGAATGAAGGAAACACATTGCCCTGCCTCCTTGTCTTTCTTGTCTGGAGCACTGTGGCGGTCTACCCTCATTTCAGCTCCAGGGCACACGTGTGAGTCTGGTCTCTTACTGGGTCCAGAGCCACGAAGACAACTCAAGATCAGGGATCAGACCACACATGATGAAAGAATGGGGTGTTCCTGAGGGGCCATAGCGATTACTACATGAGGTGACATTTGGGGGAGTCTGGATTATACCTCCGACCCTTCCTCGGTAAGTAGGGAGCCAATGAGGAGTACAGGTGACAGTAGAGCTTGAGAGAAATGCAAGGGACCAGCTGATAGGCTATGGAGAAACCTGTGTGGGCTTCCTGGATATTTGGAGGCATGTAGACCTAGAGATTGCTGATGGAGGAGGGTAGAAAGCACAAGGTGTTCCTCAGGCCTTACCAACCCTTCCCCAATGCTGTGAACATCTCCTTTCACAGCTACAGCCACAAACCTCTTGTCACCTGACTTCATTCTCCAGGTCTCAGATCTCCAACAACTCCAGACCGATGTGTTCTAAATTGCCTGGACCCTACAGACTGACTATAATACCAACCAAGCAGACAAGATGTGCCCACTGGCGTAATAGTGGCAAGACTGCTTATGGGAGTAACCAGCAGCTCCTGATTGGGTTTTAGGCCTGTTCCACAGAAGGAATTTACCCTGGTACTGAAAACATGGTAAAATGAACAAACAAGCAAACAAAACCTGTTGTTGGTTATTTTCTTACTCTTGGTCTCTTTGGGGGCCTGCCACCCAGCTCCCAAATAAATCACACACAGAGGCTTATTCTTTTTTTTTCCCCCGAGACAGGGTTTCTCTGTGCAGCTTTTCGACTTTCCTGGAACTCAGAATAAAGGCTACACACAACAAACCATAGCCAGCATCATCCTAAATGCAGAAAAACTTAAAGCAACCCCTTCAAACCAGGACTGCCCACTCTCCCCACACCTTTTCAATAGAATGCTTGAATTATTAGCCAGAGCAGTAAGACAAGAGAAGGAAATTAAAGGGATACAAACAGGAAGAAAAGCCAAATTACCCCTATTTGCAGATGGTATGATACACCTAAGAGGTCCCAAAATGTCCACCAGAAAACTTCTAGATCAACATTTTCAGCAAAGTAACAGAATACAAAGTTAACTTTAAAAGATCAGTAGCCTTCCTGCCACATGACCTGAGCTTGCTTCTCAGCGGCAGGACTGGCACCTCAGATCCAGCTGCTGGAGACATCACAGCAGCAGGCGCTCTGGTGGTGGACTCGCGAGAGCAAGCCGATGCTGACGGGAATAACCAGATGTAGTAGAGTATTTTAAGGTGTGTTACTTTTGCATTTGTTTAACTCTGTGAAGCTGTGTTACTGTGCCTGTGTAAAACACCTGATGGTCTCATAAAGAACTGGCCAATAGCAAAGCAGGAGAAAGGATAGGTGGGGCTGGCATGCAGAGAGAATATATAGAGGGTGAAATCTGGGATTAGTGGCCTAGCAGCCAGAGAAGGAAGAGAAATCCAGGGGCCAGACACCCAGCTACACAGCAAGCCACGGAGAAAGATTTATAGAAGTTAGAGAAAAAGGAAAAGCCCAGAGGCAAAAGATACATAGGTTAATTTAAGGAAAGCTGGCAAGAAACAAACAAGATAAGACCTGGCATTCATAAGTAAGAAAAAGCCTCTGTGGGTGATGTGTTTGGGAGCTGAGTGGCAGGTCCCCCAGAAAGAGCCAAAACAAACACCACCACCAGGATTTTCTCCAAGGTACAGAAGTTGGACCCAAGATAATTTTTACATGTGTTGCCCACACATCTCAGAGCAGTCAGGTTCCAACTGGGTATCCCAGAGCTGTTTCCCCCACACCAGAGACAGTGACCTGGCTAACTACCAGGAAACAGTGTGAAGGTCATCATTGCAGCATCCCCCTCCAGGAGCTGAAGATAGTATTTCTTCACAGTCTGCTTATTCGATATGTGGTGCTGGTGAAGACTTGTTGAAGCTTGCCTGATAGTTAAGAAGTCAGCTCTAGAGCTTCTAGGCCACCTGAAAAATACCAATTTTGCTCAACCAGCTGTGGATACCTTCTCTTCAGGGAGAAGGGAACAGAAAGAAAATCTCAGGCCTTGCCATGCTGTTCATTTCTGTACAAAACATGACTGGCTGATTCTGCATATCCCAGACGCTCATCTTTGGGCAATAACTGCAGGGAGCATCTGTAATCCACCTGTAACGAACAGAGCTTTGATCAACCCTTAGAGGCTTCCACCTGGCTGAAGAATTTCAAAACTCCAGATGAGCACTTCCTGAGTCAGGCAAAAGTTCAAGAGAAGTATGTTTGGAATAAGAAAGAAAACATTGAGAAAGGCAGTCCTCGGAGAGAAGTTGTTGACATAACACAAGTGAGGCCTGCCACAGATGCCTTTGGGACTGAGCTAAAGGAGCTAAGAAGGCTCTTTTACCTCCTAGTGGTGGCAGATCCAGTCAATGTTCTCTGGGGAGGGCCGAGGCTGAAAAGAGAAGGTTTTTCCCTGGTTGCCCTAGAGGACCAGCCCTTGTCCACAGCCTAAGGAAAATGGTGGAAAATGATTGGCATGAAGGTGCAATCATGTCGAGTTTGAGCCAAACACGGCCTCTCTTTAAGTCCCTAACAGTCAGCCCAACAGAAGAGGGAGGGAGGAGCTGAGGTCCCTGAATAACTGCAACCCCGGAAGCTGGGGAGGCTCTGCCCAGTTCCTTCCAACTACCTCCCATGAGAAAGTCCCTAGGTGCACAAATAGGGACAGCCTGACCCACGGTGACTGAACAACAGACACAGTCCATCCAGGCTGAGGCAGCTGCTCACATCACATCCACAATCAGGAAAGAGAGCAACGGATTCCTCCTGGTGCTCAGCCCACTTTCTTCACTTTCTCCATCCCAGGAGCCCCTGCTGAGAGCACAGTCTGGCCCAAAGTGAGGACAGGTTTTCCAACATCAGTTAATTTAGCTAAGATACTCCCCCGCAGGTATGCCAGAAAAGCCCACCTTCCAGGTGTTTCTAGATTCTGTCAAGTTGACAGTTAACACTGACTACCACAGATACACAACACGTAATTGTCAAATCTATGTAGTCAGAACTTCCATATCATTAAGCATTTTTTAATTATTTTGATTCACAAGTAATTTTGTCTATATTATGTGGACAGTATAACATATCAACACAATTATACAATGTGTTCCAACCAAATCAACATCCTTTTGTTACTATTACAGCATCATTTGTTAGTTTTGGGTGAGTTTCGGGAATTCAGTTTGCTTATTTATTAATATATCAGAGGTTAATTTTTAAATTTCTTATTGTTTGAGAATTTCATATATGTAATTTGTTTTTATGAAATCCACTCCATCATTCCCCTCTCCAGTTCCTCCTACATCCCCACTGCCATATTTCTATTCCCAACTTCACGTACTCTCTGTTTCTTTCTTTCTTTCTTTCTTTCTTTCTTTCTTTCTTTCTTTCTTTCTTTCTTTCTTTCTTTCTTTCTTTTCTTTTCTTTCTTTCTTCCTTCCTTCC